CAGGCACCCGCCACCACACCCGGCTAATTGTTTTTTATTTTTTGGTAGAGATGGGGTTTCACTGTATTAGCCAGGATGGTCTCGATCTCCTGACCTCGTGATCCGCCCACCTCAGCTTCCCAGGGTGCTGGGATTACTGGTGTGAGCCACCGCACCCAGCCTGTGGGCTTTTAGCCTCATTCATGGTGTCCTTTGAAGCAACAGAGTTCTTAATTTTTCTTTTTTGTTTTTTTTTTTTTTTTGAGATAGAGTCTCACTCTGTCGCCCAGGCTGGAGTGCAGTGGTGTGATCTTGGCTCACTGCAGCCTCCGCCTACTGGGTTCAAGCAATTCTCCTGCCTTAGCCTCCTGAGTAGCTGAAATTACAGGCACCGGCCACCACGCCTGGCTAATTTTTGTATTTTCAGTAGAGACGGGGTTTCACCATGTTGGCCAGGATGGTCTCAACTCCTGATCTCAAGTGATCTGCCCGTCTCGGCCTCCCAAAGTGCTGGGATTACAGGCGTAAGGGACTGTGCCCGTCCCGAAGTTCTTAATGTTGATGAAGCCCAATTTATCTATTCTTTCTTCTGCTGCTCATGTTTTTGGTGTCAAATCTAAGAATCCTTTGGCAAATCCAAGGTGATGAGGACTTATCCCTATGTTTTCTTCTAAGGGCTTTATATTTTTAAATTTTACATTTAGGTCTTTCATTTATTTTACTTTTTGTATAAGGTACCAGCTAAGGGTCCAACTTCATTCTTTTGTATGTAAATATGCAGTTGTCCCAGCACCATCTGCTGAAGATACTACTCTTCCCCCTCCATTGAATGGTCCTGGCATCCTGACCATAGATACACAGATTTCTGAGTGCTCTATTCTATTCCATTGATCTATGTATCTGTCCTTGTACCAGTGCCAGTCTTGATTACTGCGGCTTTGTACTAAGTTTTGAAATCAGGGTATGTGGGTCCTTCTACTATGTTATTTTTCACGGTTGTTTTGGCTATTCTGGGTCTCTTGCAATTCCATATGAACTATGGATTAGAATCAGCATGTCAGTTTCTACAATGAAACCGGTGGAATTTTCATAGGGATTGTGTTGAATTTGTAGGTCAATTTGGGGAGTCCCCCCATCTGGACAATGTTAAGTTTTCCAATCCATGAACATGGGATGTTAATCCATTTATTCAAAACTTTCATTTCTTTCAACAACGTTTTGCAGTTTTCAGAATATAAGTATTACAATTTTTTGTTACACTTATCCTATTTTATTCTTTTTGATGCCAATGTAAATGGGATTATTTTCTGCTTCATTTTCAGATTGCGCATTGTAAGCGTATTTCTATATTTGCGTATTGATCTTGTATCCTTCAACCTTGCTAAACTTGATGATTAGTTCTAATAGTTTTTTAGTGGATTCCTTAGGGTTTTCTACATACAAGTTCATATGATCTGCAAATAGAGATAGCTTCACTTCTTCCTTTCCAATCTAGATGCCTTTTATTTTTCTTGCCTAAATGTCCTGGCCAGATCCTGCAGTACCATGTTAAACAGAAGCAGCAGGAGTGAACATCCTTGTCTTCAGAAACTCAACACACACCACACAATGCAGCACTGCACGCTTGGGCATTCTCCCCAGAGGAATGAAAACCCACATCCCGCAAAAACCTGTCAAGAGGGCCAGATGCGGTGACTCGCGCCCGTAATCCCAACACTTTGGGAGGCCAAGGCAGGTCTATCGCTTGAGCCTAGGAGTTCAAGGCCACCCTGGGCAACATGACGAAGCCCTGTTTCTACAGAAAATACAAAAACTAGCGGGGCATGGTGGTGCACCCCTGTAGTCCCAGCTACTCAGGGGCGGAGGTAGGAGGATCGCTTGAGCCCAGGAAGTGAAAGCTTCAGTGAGCTATGACTGCACCACTGCACTACAGCCTGGGCGACATGGTGAGACACTGTCTCAAAAGAAAACAAGAAAGAAAAAAGAAAAACCTGTACATAATTGGCCAGAGCAGCTTTATTTGTAATAGTCAAAAACTGGAAACAAAATATCCTTCCACGGCCGGGCGCGGTGGCTCAAGCCTGTAATCCCAGCACTTTGGGAGGCCGAGACGGGCGGATCACGAGGTCAGGAGATCGAGACCATCCTGGCGAACATGGTGAAACCCTGTCTCTACTAAAAAAATACAAAAAACTAGCCGGGCGAGGTGGCGGGCGCCTGTAGTCCCAGCTACTCGGGAGGCTGAGGCGGGAGAATGGCGTAAACCCGGGAGGCGGAGCTTGCAGTGAGCTGAGATCCGGCCACTGCACTCCAGCCTGGGAGACAGAGCCAGACTCCATCTCAAAAAAAAAAAAAATATCCTTCCACAGGCAAATGGCTGAACGAACTGTGGTAAAACCAAACCATGGAATACTATTCAGCAATAAAAAGGAACAGACTATGGATACACACAACTTAGATGCATCTCAGGAGCCTTATGTGGAGGCAAATAGCTGAGCGAACTGTGGTAAAACCAAATATTCATGGAATACTATTCAGCAATAAAAGAACAGACTATGGATACACACAACTTAGATGCATCTCAGGAGCCTTATGTGGAGTAAAAAGAGCTTATCTCAAAGGTCACATACTTATGATTCCCTTACTGTATTCTTTTTTTTTTTTTTTTTTTGAGATGCATTTATCGCCCTGTCGCCACTGCTGAATGCAATGAGACTTACCTAATATTCTTTTTTTTTTTTTTGTTTTTTTGAGATGGTGTCTCGCCCTGTCGCCCTTGCTAAATGCAATGGGGCACTCTCAGCTCACTGCAACCTCCACCTCCTGGGCTCAAGCGATTCTCCTGCCTCAGCCTCCCAAGTAGCTGGGATTACAGGTGCCTGCCACCACGCCCAGCTATTTTTGTATTTTTAGTAGAGACGGGGTTTCACCATGTTGCCCAGGCTGGTCTTGAACTCCTGATCTCAGGTGATCCACCCGCCTCAGCCTCCCAAAGTGCTGGGATTACAGGTGTGAGCCACCGTGCCCAGTCCCTAATATTCTTTAAATGGCATAATTATAGACATGGAGAACATATCAGCAGTTGCTACGGGCTAGGGATTGGTGGTGGGCAGAGGTAGGCAGGATTATAAAGGGGAGAACCTTGAGTGATGGATGGGAGAGGTCTGTACCTTGACCCTGACACTGGTCACAGGAATCTGCATGGGGAGAAATGACAGAACAACATGCACATTGCACTAGTGTCGGTGTTCCTGTTTTGATATTGTACCATGATTGTATCTGATGTCCCCTTTGAGGGAAAGGGTAGAGGTACATGGGACCTTCCTATCTGTGCAACTTTCTGGGAATCTATCATTATTTCTAAATAAACAGTTTAGGCCAGGCACGGTGGCTCACACCTGTAATCTCAGCACTTTAGGAGGCCAAGGCAGGAGGACAGCTTGAGCCCAGGAGTGTGAGACTATCCTGGGCAACATGGCGAAACCCCATCTCTACAAAAAATACAAAACAATTAGCCAGGCATGGTAGCGCATGCCTGTGGTCCCAGCTACTTGGGAGGCTAAGGCAGGAGAGGATTGCTTGAAACATGGAGGTTGAGGCTGCAGTGAGCCATCACTGCACTCCAGCCTGGACAACAAAGTCTCAAATATATAAATAAAATAAAATTTTTTTGGCCAGGCACAGTGGCTCATGCCTATAATCCCAGCACTTTGGGAAGCCGCGGCAGGAGGACTTCTTGAGCCCAGGAGTTTGAGACCAACCTGTACAACAGAGCAAGACCCCATTTCAATGTTTTAATAAAAGAAAAGAAAAAAAAATTTTTTAAGTCTAACGAGGAGGAGGACTAGTGGTCTCAGGGAAGAGAGGGGGATAAAGCACCAGAGAAAGGAGGGACAGAGAGACAGAGACAGGCAGAGAGAGCCAGAGCTGTCAGACGGAGGAGAGAGCCAGAGACTGCGAGATGCGGGGAGGGACAGAAAGAGCAATGTGCTCTGCTCTCTTTCAACTATGCCCCGAAACGGGAAAGAAAGATAACATCCAAAAGTGAGGCATACCCTGAGCACACCCTGCCCAGCCCCCACCTCCTGCAGGGGCCACCCCAGGGAACATCACAGTGATATATTTTCTGGCTGCCTCCTCTAAAAGCACAAGGCCCAGTGGAAAAGGGGGCTTGCAACCTTGGAGCACACTCCAGAGGCGTCACCCCTCAATGCTGACAGCGGAGCCCCCAACACTGCAGCCAGGGAGGTGGCCACATGGACGTGACTCTTCAACTTCTCTCTTTCTGCTCCTTAGGCCAAGGAGCCAGAGTTCCATCCCTCAGAGCAGCCATGTCCTTCCTGGGGTACCAGAAGCATCTCCTGGAGTGTAACCTCCTTTGTACAACACTGGCCGACTCTCCCAGGTAAAGGCACATGATGGCGTCTCCCGCCCCAGTGGCCAAAAGCTCTCTTTTACGGGAGTCAAACAAGCGCAGACCTTGGCATTCAGCTGGTTCTGAAAGGCAGGACTTTCTGTCCTGAGGCTTCAGTACAGATACCCATAAAGAACCACCACTCAAAGCAACTGCCCCCCAACATGAGCCCTGAGGACAGCATCTCAGCAAACACCAACCGAGAACAATGTGAGGGCATCCCACGAACCACCACCCTGGCCTTCCAGAAGGGTGCTCAGCCCAGCAGAAAAGAAGGGTGTCTATTCCTGGCCCCACCTTCCCCACGAAACTGTGCAGGCCCCAACCCCAAAGCCCTCCCTCTACCCTTAGGAATTGCTAAGACACCTCAAATGAATGTAAATGAAATTACAAGATTTTTTGAAGAAAAAGACAACCAACCGAACAGCTGAGTTCAAGAACCAGAGGACTGAGGACTCTGCCACCTAAGCAATGCTGACCGGTTCTGACTCCAGAGGGCTTCCTCCTTGAGACCCGAGAGTTCACAGTAAGGGGGACCCTTCACCACCCTGATGGGCACCGGGAGCTAAGCCCCCAGGACCTCCAAGAGTGCCAGCTTCCCGCCCACCTCCAAGGTCCTTGCCACTCACAGCCCTGCCAGGCCTGGCCCGAGGTGAGCAGCACCAGCTCGGCGTTGTCGGGAACGCTGGGGAAGTAGTCTTCGGTGAGCTCCGTGCCATCCTCGTACAGGCACAGCCGGGAACCGCGCTCAGGGAGCTGCAGGGGCGGGAGAGGCGACAGGAGGAGGAAGGGTCTCAAGACGAGGGCTTCTCATCTGCAGGCCCCACAAACGACCAGAATGAGCTGTGTTTAAAGAAGCAGGCTCAGGCTGCTGCCTGTATACCACAGCCATGCCAACGCCCAGGCAAGGACCAGGGAGCGGAGCAAGGGTGCCTGACTGCGGGCCGTTCTAAAATTCGAAGAGTCAGGAAAAGCACAACAGGTGGCGACTGCTGGCTCTGCAGGACTCACCCTTTTAAAATGAGCTCCTGAGGGTACTTCAAATAGAGCCTGTCTTTGACAGCGCGGCCTCCCTGCTGCCAGGAGCTGAACACACAGCTGCCAGGGCGGTGCCGGCACACGAAGGAGAACGGTTGGATGCCTCTGTGCACAAGTGTGGCCGGCACGTGGCACTGTTAATTTGTTGGAGTCTGGTTCCCTGGTACTCTGCACTGGTCAGTTTTAGGCATTTTATGGCAATTCCCACCCAACCCGCACCGACCCCGGCAAAGCACACCTGGTAACCCTAGTACTGGTCCAGAAAAGAAAACCACCCTAGAATAAGGTGACAATTGCAATCCCCAGCTGCGAGGGCTGGAAGGGCCTGCAGAGCCCACCCAGTCAAGGCTTTCATTTTACGCAAGGGGAAGCTGAGGCCGGACAGGCAGAGCAGCCGTGACCCCGCGTGCCAGCACCTGGCACTCAACCCGGGTTTCCTAGCTCTGATGCAGGGCTGTCCTGCCCGAGCGGTGGGAAGAGGGAAGGGGTGATCCAGGTCGCCCCCCAAGCTCCCTGCGCTCTGAAGCCAGGCTCAGGAACCCCAGGCTGCGGGGGCCCGGGGGCCTAGCGGCTGAGGCGAACGAAAACTACCCGCCCCGGGCGCCGTCCGCACCCTCCGTTTTGGAAGACGAAAAGCCGCACCTCCTATTCTCCCCACACACCTCCCCGGCCGGCCGTCCCCGCCCAGCCCGGCGGGCACCTGGAAGCGGAGACAGCCCTTGCGCAGCACCTCCTGGCAGCTCCGGCCAGCCACGCCGAACTTCCTCGGGCTGCGCAGGGCCCGCAGCTTCACGCTCTTGGGCTTCTGGAGCATTGCAGATGTGCTCAAGGCCTCTGGGTCCCGCGGGCGGCGGCACCCGCTGGCTGGCTGCTGAGATCCGTCCTCGCCCTGGCCGCAGGGGTCTGCACCTGGTGAGCTCTGCAAGCTGGCACAGGCCGGGCGCGGATCCCGGAAACTACATTACCCAGAAGGCCTGGGAAAAGTGAGGCCCGACGTGGTCTTGTGCGCAGGCGTCGCCCCACGGATACTACATTACCTTACCCAGAAGGCTCGGGAAAGCAAAGGCGCGACACCACCTGGTGTGCCCCAGGTGCCGTGGCCCCGGAAACTACACGACCCCGAGGGCCCGCGAAGCGTGGGGCCTCCCCTTGTGCGCCGGCGCGGCCGGGGACGGGGCGGGGTCGCGCACGCGCAGAGGCCCCGGTCCAGGGCTGGGCTTGGTTGTCATGAGAGCGGCGGCTGCGGCCGGGGCGATGGGCAGAGGTTGCCAGGGCTGCTCCTTCCCTGTCACTGCCGCAGCAGCTTGGAGTGCAAGGCGGCCTGGGGCGGCGGAGGGGGCGCCCCTTGTGTTCCGTCTGAGGAAGCTGCGGCTGCCGAGGAGGTCCACGAGGGCCGGGGCCGGGGCCGGGACCGGAGCCCGCCCGCCCCCGGGGTCCGGGTGCTGAGGCGCCGCCTGGCCGCCTCCCCGGGCCGCGGCACCGCTGCGACCCAGCCGACCTCTCCACCGGGGCTGCGGCAGCGCCAGTCGGGGCCGTTCCCTCTGAGCAGGTACCTTCCGGGCCGCTGCGGCGCCGGGCCAGGGCCGGAGTGGGGAGCGGGGCGCGGGCGCCGCTGGGGCGCGGTCCCCACCTGGGAGCTGGGTACGAAGCCTGGGTGCGCGGTGCAAGCCCGGACGGTGTGGAGTTAGATTCCGGCTTGCTGTTGCCGAAGAGCCGGCGCGGCCCGGTAGTGCCAGATGCCGGGGAGCGCAGCATGGGTGCTGGGAGCGCCTGCCCCGGCCGGGACGGCCCATTTAGCGTGGAATATTATTTTCAGGTCCGGCTTTTCCTGTTCTGGATGCATAGCACATAGCGGGCCAGTTTCAGATGTGTCTGCTGAGCAAAACTTTGAGGAAAGTTGCTCTGCCGCTATAGAGATTAAAGTTTGATGGTTGATTGTTTTTTGTTTTGGGGTTTGTTTTGTTTTGTTTGCACTTGAGTTTCAGATTTCTCTGAAGCCCTTTCAGTCGCTAAGATGACTTGACCAGAAACCCATAAGCCTTTCAGACAGTCTCTGTCGCCGAGGCTGGAGTGCAATGGCACGAACTCAGCTCACTGCAGCCTCCGCCTCCCGGGTTCAAGCGATTCTGCCTCAGCCTCCCGAGTAGCTGGGACTACAAGCGTCCACCACACGCCCGTCTAATTTTTTTATTTTTAGTAGAGACGGGGTTTCACCATGTTGACCAGGCTGGTCTCGAACTCCGTACCTCAAGTAATACGCCCTCCTTGGCCTCCCAAAGTGCTGGGATTACAGGCGTGAGCCACCGCGCGCGGTCACACTTAAGTCTTCTTAAAAAGATAATCAGAGCCAGGCGTAGTGGCTCACGCCTGTAATCCCAGCACTTTGGGAGGCCGAGGTGGGCGGATCACGAGGTCAGGAGATAGAGACCATCCTGGCTAACAAGGTGAAACCCCCGTCTCTACTAAAAACACAAAAATTAGCCGGGCGTGGTGGCGGGCGCCTGTAGTCCCAGCTACTTGGGAGGCTGAGGCAGGAGAACGCCGTGAACCCGGGAGGTGGAGCTTGCAGTGAGCCAAGATCACGCCACTACACTCCAGCCTGGGCAACCGATCAAAAAAAAAAAAAAAGATATTCAGAAACAAGTTTTGTTTCCCAGTCTTGTAACAAAATGGAAGTTGCTACATTGAGTTTCCGTAGAATTTATAGTTAATTGCCTTTTACCATGCCAGCACTAGGAAAAGTGCAGTGAGGGATGAGACCCCCATGGAATAATCGCTGCCTGGGGAGAGATGTACTCTGGCACTTGTTGGGATGCCGATGACTGTCCCTGGAACAACGGGGATCCCACATGCCTCTGGTGAGGAAGACTAGCCAATAACTGGACGTTCAACAGAGCTTTGCTTCTTCCCAAATTGTTAATGGTGATTTTTATAGAGCCTAAAAGTGGCAATCTTCAGTGACACTCCAAGTATCTTATGTAACACTTGAAGGTTTACACAGAGGGGACCCTAGGCTACAACTGGAAGGTCTTTGGGAGGGGGTAGACTGAAAAAGGAATCCTTTTCAAATACCAGACTGAGGTAATAGCATTGCCTCCACAGTGCCCATGCATTTCTCTTTGCTAGTTCTTAAATGCCAGTACTTTGTTTTAGATTTGTTGGGAGCAGTATAGCATACTGGAAACACCCTTCTGTTTGACAGAAAAGGTCCTCTGTTTATGTCTTCGAGCCATAACAGAGAGCGTTGGTTAGGATCAGAGACTAGCCAGGCTTGGCGGTTCACGCCTGTAATCCCAACACTTTGGGACACTAAGGTGGGAGGATCACTGAAGGCCAGCAGTTCAAGACCAGCCTAGGGAACACAGTGAAACCCCTTCCCTACAAAAAAAAAAATTAAGTGGCTGTGCATGGTGACATGTGCCTGTAGTCCTAGCTACTCAGGAGGCTGAGACAAGAGGATCACTGGAGCCCAGGAGTTCATGGTTACAGTGAGCTATGATCATGCCACTGCAGCAGTACAGCCTGGGCAACAGAGCAAGAACCTGTATAAAAAAAAAAACTGGGGCCGGGCGTAATGGCTGATGCCTGTAATCCCAGCACTTTGGGAGGCCGAGGCGGGTGGATCACCTAAGGTCAGGAGTTCAAGACCAGTGTGGCAAACATGGTGAAACCCCATCTCTACTAAAAATATAAAAATTAGCTGGGTGTAGTGGCGTGCACCTATAATACTGGCAACTTGGGAGGCTGAGGCTGGAGAATCACTTGAACCCAGGAGGCAGAGGTTGCAGTGAGCCGAGATTGTGCCACTGCACTCCAGCCTGGATGACAGACTGAGACCCCCTCTCAAAAAAAAAAAAAAATTGGAGACTGGAACCCAACAGCTTGAGCACAAGAGCTATTTTCAAGGTGGGATAGGGAGTGACAGGCCCTGCCCTTAAAGATGATGTAAGGAACCTGGCATGGTGGCTCATACCTGTAATCCCAGCACTTTGGGAGGCCAAAGCGGGGAGATGGCTTGAGGCCAGGAGTTCGAGACCAGCCTGGCCAACATGGCAAAACCCCATCTCTACTAAAATGCCAAAAAAAAATAAAAATAAAAATTAGCCAGGCATGGTGGCACATGCCTGTAATCCCAGCTACTTGGGAGGCCGAACCACAAGAATCACATGAACCAGGAGACAGAGGCTGCGGTGAGCCAACATCACGCCCCTGCACTCCAGCCTGGGCGACAGAGTGAGACTCTGTCTCAGAAAAGGATAAAAAGATGATGAAAGGATTGGAGGGCTTCCGAGCTGAAGGGTATTAACTTTGAGATTTGATTGTTTGGCTGGACTTCAGAATTCAGGACAAGAAGTGAGGGTCAGGGGAGAGTTGGCGCATTGATCCGTAGATGGGGAGCCCACCAAGAGCTCTGGAGGTAGGACGTGGATGGAGATGACTAGAGCTGGGTCTGAAGTGCGTTCACACAACAGGAGCTTAGGACTTGTCTGAGGGAGGTGCTCCGGGTGAGGACACCAGGCAGCTGCTGTCTAGAAAAGACAGTGGGATCAGAAGGAAGGGTAGGCCTGATAAGACCTGGCACACCGCTGGGTGAGGAGTGGATGAAGAGAGATGCTGTGGCCAAGGGAAAAGTACCTCTGGGCTCAGAGCCCGTGCGACCCAGAAGTGCTAGGTCACGAGGAAGGAGGAGCCAGCGACCCGGAAGTGCTAGATCACGAGGAAGGAGGAGCCAGCGACCCGGAAGTGCTAGGTCACGAGGAAGGAGGAGCCATGGGCTGTGCGTTTCTGGCATAGGGTGCCGGGAGTGCAGGTGTGGATGTGCAGCTAACAGTGGGTTGAATCACACTCATCCTTTCAAAATTCTTTTTTTTGGTTTGTCTTTTTAGAGACGGGGTCTCACTAGCTTACCCAGGCTGGTCTCGAGCTCCTGGGCTCAAGTGATCCTCCCACCTCGGCCTCCCAAAGTGCTGAGATTATCGGCGTGAGACACCACACCCAGCCTCATCCTGTTTTGGGGGGCTTTTTAAAAATTATTTTCTGGGTTGGTTTAGTTTTGTTTTCGTTTAATATACAGTAACATCTTGCAGTGAACTTTGTGCAAAAAATAACTAGGATCTCAATGACGGTTTGTCATTCTATTCTAGTGCTTTTGTTCATACACTCCAAGAAACATCAGCAATAATGCCAGCCAAGAATTAATATATTGAAGTGGTCCTCCTCAAATTCTCAATGAAAGTAAAAGAAAGATCTAGATCATGCATCAAGCATGTCAAAATATGTAAAGTTTTACGTGGGGATATGTTTATATGTTACCTCCTATTGGGGATTTCAATTAATAGTTTATCTTATCCCAGAAAACTTCTAATGGAGTCTTCTTTATCCTAGTTTAGTGAGGAGCCTTTTTTTGTTTTCCTGATGATTTAGACCTAACCCAAATTGGTTTACTTAGGAAGAATCTGACTGGCTTAGTAACTGAAAAGTAACCCAGAGTCCCCGAGCAAATTGGGCTCAATGTCCTGTGAGTCAGTCCCTCAGCCTGACTCTACGTGAACGTTTTTGTACTTAATACGCCTGCCTGTCATTCCTGCTCTTCCTTCTGCTCATACACATTCATTTCGCAGTTGTTAGGCTAGCGCCTACGTTGCCTTTTTCCCCTTGTTGTATCACTAATTAATGTACTGGTTCTATTTGTTTCCTAACTAATAGAAATACATTTGTGTTTATATTCTAGACAAAAACTATTTTTGCCATAACAAAATATAAACTAGATGGCTTAAAACAACAGAAATTCATTCTGGAGGCTGTGTGGGCAGGACTGCACTCTCGCTCTGGAGGATGGGGGGATCCCTCCTGGCCTCTTCCTAGCCTTGGGTGCCTGCTGGCTGCCCTCGCCTGTCCTCGGCCGTGCTCGGCAGGCCCGCTCCCACTTAGAGATGCGTCGCTCTGGTGCCTGCCTCTGTCGCCACATGGTGCTCTCCCTTTGTGTGGCTGCGTCTCTTCCCTTCTTAAAAGTCACATTGGATTGGGCCCACCCCGA